CCCAAAGGTGCTGACTGTGGATCCAGGCAAGCTGAAGTTGTTAACACTTTCAGTCTTTTCTCCATCTGTAATGATGTTGCCTATTTGTCCAGTGGTGATAATTTTAGTTTTCTTGATATTGAAGGCTGAATGATGTCCTTGATCCTCCATCGCAAGTGCTTCAAGTCCTCCTCACTTTCAGCTAGCAAGATTGTATCATTTTCATAATGCAAGTTGTTGATAAACCTTCCTCCAATATTAATGCCACTTTCTTCTTCATAAAGCCCAGCCTCTCCAGTGATTTACTCAGCATGAAGAATGAATAGATATGAAGAGAAGATACAATACTGATGCACACTCTTCCCGATTTTAAACCATGCAGTATCTTTTTGTTCTCTTTTGGACAACAGCTTCTTGATCTAAGTATAGATATCATAGAAGCATAATTAAGTGGAATCCCCATTCTTCGCAAGGTTAGCCGTAATTTGTTATGATCAACACAGCAAAATCTCTTTGCATAGTCAATAAAACTCAGATTTTCTTGTGAAATTCTCTGCTTTCTGTGAAGGTTCATCTGACATCTATCACAGGTACCATTGCCTCTTTCTAGCTTGAACTTCTGGCTGTTTTCTGTCAATTTGGATGATCTTCAACAATATTTTGCTTTAATGTGATAATAGTGTTATCATTCAATAATTTCTACATTCTGTTGGATCACTTTCTTAGAAACAAAAATGGATCTCTTCCAGTCAGTCTTTCAGGTAACTGTCTTCCAAATTTCATGATAAAGACTGGTGAACACACCCAGGGCTACATCTGTTAGTTGAACCATGTAAATTTGTATCACATTCAATTGTGATGGTGTTGGTGTTTGGTGCTGTTGAGTCAAGTATGACTCTTAGCAACCCAATAAAACAATAAATATGAACTCTATCCTAACCTGTGCCATCTTCACAATCTCTAATACACTCAAGTTTATTGCAACAGTCATTGTGGCAATCCACCTGGTTGAGGATCTTCCTCTCCTTTGTTGTCCCTCTATCTTTCTAAGCATGATGTTCCTCCCCAAGAAATAGCTTCTCTTAGCAACATGCCTGAAGTGTATGAAGTGAAGTTTTGTAATCTTTGTCTCTAAGGGATACTCTGGTTGCATCATCTCCAAGATCTATCTGTTTGTTCATTTGGCAATCCACAGGATATTTAGTATTCTTCTCTTACACCATACATAGTTCAAAGACATTAATTCTTCTTCTGTCATCCTTATCCATTGTCCAGCTCTCAGATGTATAGCTAATTATTGGAAATACCATAGTCTTAATTAGGCGCACCTTAGTCTTCAAACAGACATCATTGCTCCTCAGTAATTCGGATATGTCCCTGACTGCAGACTTTCCAAGTGGGATATATCGCCTAATCTCCTAACTGCTGGCACCAAATTATTGATTATGGATCCACCTAACATTAAGTTATTGGCAGTCTCAATCTTCTCCATATATTGTGATGTTGCTGATTGGTCTAGTGGTGAGGAGTTTTTTTTTATGCTTGACATTGAGATGCAATCCATATTGAGGACTGTAGTCTTTTATAATTTGCATTAAGTGCTTCAAGTTCTCCTCACTTTCAGCTAGCATGGTTGTGTAATGTGCATCAATAACAAAGATTATTGATGAGTTTTCCTCCAATCCTGATGCCACTTCTTAACAGAGTTCAGCTTTTTAATAATTTGATCCGCATACATATTGAATATTTATGGAGAAAGGATACAACCCTGACACCCAATGATTAGTGATGTAATTTTAAATCATTTAATGTTCCCTTGCTCTGTTTGCACAACAGCCTCTTAGTATAGGTATAGGTTTAGTATTAGCACAATTAAGTGTTCTGAGATTACCACTCTTCTCTTTGTTAGTTATAATTTGTTATAATCTTCACCTTTGCATAATAAATAAATCACAAGTAGACATTCTTCTGGTCTTCTTTGTTTTCAGCCAAGATCCATCTGATATCAACATTCCATGTTCTAATTATTAATGAATGTTTGCAACTATTTCTGTTTATTTTTTTAATATCTCTCACTCTAGGGGACCTACCTCTAGTATTATGTCTAACTGTGGATTGTTGATAAGGTTTTTCAAAGACCAGTTATTCCCAGAATGTATGGCTAATTTGTCCACCATGAGTAACCTGCTGGTATTAAAGTACTAGAGGCAGAGCCTCTAGCATCACAGTAGCCTACAAGGTACTTTACAGTAAACTGACAGACAAGTACTATAATCTGATGAGCAAATTACAAACAAGCAAGGATACACATACACAAATTACAAAATAAGAAACACCACCCTAGCCCTTCTTTCTAATCCTGCCACCCCCTCCCAATTACTGCAACAAATTGGTCAATAAATGATGTACTCTTAATATCAGAGCCTGGTTGAGCCCATTGACTTCTTCCGATGAGGATGGCTCAGGCTCCAGTCAGTCCCACCCTTTGTCTGGGTATTCCTTGGTAAGGATGGCACTGGACTTCTCCGGCCAGAGCATAGTGATGATGCTTGAGCCCTCCCTGGCGAGGGCCCAGCATACGTCTAGGTGGTGGTCCCTGAAAGATATGATGCTCTTGTCCTCCTAGCCCAGGGCCTGGCATGTGCCTGGATGATTCTCCCTGATGGAGATGGCACTCTGGCCCTCCAAAGCTGGTCACAGCCTAAAGAAATAAAAGCAGCAACGGAACAGATATGTTTGAACACTTATGTTCATTGAAACATTAATCACTAAAGCAAAGAGATGAAAATAGTCCAAATGCTCATCAATGAATCAATAGGTGGAGAAATTATGATTTATTCATATAATGGAGTACTATGCAACCTTAAAAATTAATGACAAAGTAATAAAGTACTACTTAACAAGGATTAATCTAGAGGACATTATGATGAGTGAAATAAAATAATTACAAAATGGCAGATATTATTTAAGACCACCATCATTAAAAGTTAAAGAAAGGTTTACACATAGAATCAATCAAGATTGGTTACAAGGAAAGAAAGAAAAGTTTACACATTAAATCATTTTAGAATGGTTACAATGGAAAGGAATGTTGGGGAGGAGAGGAGTAGAGAATTAATTACTAAATAATAAATACATAATAAGAGAGCTCTTGTGGTCTACTGGGAAAGGAACTATGCTGCCAACCCAAAGACATGCGGTTCAAATCCACCAGCTACTCCAAAGGAGCAAGACGGGGAAATCTCCAGTGCTATTTATTGCTTCTGAAAACCCACTGGAGGACCACCTATGAGTTGGTTCCCAATCAATGGCAAGTAACAATAACTACCACCACCACCACAAAAATCACATATTTATTAAAGGAATTGAAAGGAAATACAATAGGGAATGAATGAGTGAGCAGACATTGTGGTATTGTAATTAATGTTCTGGAACAAAACATACAATAATGACCAATTGAAAGAACACTGAACTTTGTAAACTTTGAATCAAATAAAAATTTTTAAATTAGATGGAAAAAATTCCTAGAAAAAATATGAGAATAAAACTTTGATTTATAGCTTGTCTTTGAAGATTGAAAAGACACTGATAGAGGATATAGAGGATACTTACTGCATTTCCATTCCCAAGTATTAACAATATGGAATACTCTCACCTAAGATCCTAAAATTGAAACAAGGCTACAGAGTTACTGGATTCACTTAGGGATGCCAATTTCTGAAGGCAGTGACTCAGAGATGCCCAGAACCTTCCCTAATCAACCTCATCTGTGTTGAGGACAACATAATGGAGGTTTTGTAGAAAAAATTTAACATTGGAATTTCCTCCAAAGCCACTCAAGCATGCCTACTACAAGCAAAATTCTGGCACAATCCAATTAAGGAGGATATGTACCACTATGTACCACAACCACAGTTATCTTCTTGGCAGATATCAATCAGAGAGGGGTTGTCAATAAGCCCTACAAGGAACACCTGATGACTTCGAAGAAATTTGATCTGTGATGAGGAAACACCTCAGCGATTTTGTTGTAAATCCTGTGGGTGATGCGTGGTATGGATTTCACAGAAAGAATTAATCCAAACATTTTTCAAAAATCAAACTATCCCTTTACAGAAGACCATTTTGTACCTAAAAGGCTGCCTGGGGCTAAAGGAAGTGAAGGGAAGCTAGCCTTCCAGGCAACAGGAAGGGAACATCCTCAAACTGTCAAAAGAATAGTATGATAGACATACATATCATCCCATTGGCGATGCGAAACCTTGCCGTTTCCCAAGAACCAGGGGAGCTGGTCGACTTCCAAATTGTGTGGGAGACACTTCATGCCCAAGCATGAACTCAGAATCATCATTTGACTAATCCTATTCTCCTGGAATCATGTATTATGCTCTTATCAGAGAGATCTGAAATAAAAGTCTTATCCTTTGTCTCATCTTATCACTACAATGAACGAGTTAGCTTTCAATACGGATTACACCTTAAAACTAATGCAATAAAAATTTTTACAACTAGACCAATAAGCAACATCATGATAAATGGAGAAAAGATTGAAGGTGTTTTCAATTTCATTTGACTTGGATCCACAATCAACCCCCACGGAAGCAGCAGTTAAGAAATCAAAAGACATGCTGCAGTGGGGAAATCTGCTGTTAAATACCTCTGGGAAGTGCTTTTAAAAAAAATATGTTTACTGGTCATTTGCAATGGCAACACAGAAGTCACTGACTACACTCACAATTATGGAGTTAAGGAAATAGCAGACTACAACTCAGGATCAGTGTCAGGAAGACACAAGCATGGTTTGAAACACACCTGCAAAGTAAAGAACATATCACTCCCTTCTTAAATATTGATTGAACTTCTCTAAATTCACTCCAACATGCACATCCATTCCCCTACAAAGTAATTAATACCTTCTTCAGATCCTTTCCCCACATCTTCTGCTCATTATGCTTAAACCTAGGATTTATTCACAGCATTATCAACTAGAGAAGTGTAAGCTTTATAAGAACAGAAGGGCTTTATTCTGAAAATACCTATCAAGAGGGAAGAATATAATATTAAATGCCAAAACTCTCAAACCCACAGCCATCATGTTGGAACCAATTCATAGCTGGCCCTCCAGTGGTTTTTCAAGGCTGTAAATTGAATAGCAGGAGATTGTCATCTTTTTCCCAAGTAGCTGTTGGTGGTCATGTAGGAATTAATTTATTATACATAGCCAGAGGGTTGTCAGATGATAATGTCCTGTGGAAATTTATAGAAATTATTGGACAAAACCCTCAAGAATGTGCTGAGAAGTATTATCAGCATCACTAAAAAGACTAGTATTAACAATAACTAAGGATGAGAGAAGAAGAAGAACCTTTGAGTTGTGGTGCTGGAGAAGAGTACTGAATATACAATGGACTGCTAAGATAACAAAGAGATCCATACAGGAGAGAATGAAATCAGGATGCTCCTTGGAGGCATACTTTTGGTGTGTTTCCAGGAGGGACCAGTCTTTAGAGAGGGACATCATGCTTGGAAGGGTGGAGGAATGGCACAAGAGAGGAAGACCCTAGATGAGATAGATTGACTCAGTGACTGGGGTAATAGGAGTAGGCATGTCGGAGACAATGAAATTGGCTCAAGATAGAGCAGAGTTCAGAGCTATTGCACGTAAGGTTGCTATGAGTCACAGACAACTCATTGGCACATAACAACAACAAGCTGCCCTTTGTAGTTCAATACAGGGAACTCCTATGGGGTAAATATTAGGGAGCTGTGCTAACCTAAAGGATGCACAGTTGGAATTTACTACCCATGGGGGATAGCTGCGGAATCTCTTTCCCTGTGATTTACAGCTTTCCAAAAAGGAGGGTCAGTTATGAGTTGGTTCTGATTCCACAGCAATGAGACCCTTTGCTGTTGTTGTTGTTATGCTTGTTTGCTTGTTTGTTTTAGCAGTCCAGATCTTAAACCACAGATTGTTACTGCTGTTGTTGTTGGGTGTCATCGAGTTGCGTTTGACTGATAGCAACAAAACATGATATGAACAAAACAGCTGAACCCTATCCTGTTCTATCCTGTGCCACCCTCACACTCCCTAACACACAAGAGCCAATGGCAGCAATCACGTCAATCCACCTGGTTGAGGGTTTTCCACTCCTTTGCCAACCCTCTGCCCTTCCAGGCATCATGTCCTTCTCTAAGGAATATCCCCAAAGTAAGTGAGATGAAACTTCATTATCTTGGTCTCCAAAGAGCACTCCGGCTGCACCTTCTCCAAGATAGAACTGTTCATTCTCAGTGCTCTTCTTCAACACCACAGCTTAAAAGGTATCAATTCTTTTCCTGTCATTCTTATTCATTGTTTAGCTCTCAGATGTTTAGCGAGTGATCAAAAAGTCTATGGCTTGAATCAGACGCACCTTAGTCCTCAATCTGACATCATTTACTTCTCAATAATTTGGAGAGGTTCCTGACTGCAGATTTTCGCAGTGTAATACATCCCCTTATTTCCTGACTGTTGATACCAAGGTGTTTGTTAATTGTGGATCCAAGCAAGACAAAGTTGTTAAGTGACAACCTCCTCTCCATCCATCATAAAGCTGCCTATCAGTCCAGTGGTAAAGCACCTTTGTTTTCTTGACATTTAGTTGAAATCCATACCGAAGTCTGCATTCCTTGATCTTTTGCAAAAAGTGCTTCAAGTCCTCTTCACTTTCAACAAGCAAAGTGTGTCATCTGCATAACAAAGATTATTGATGAGTCTTCCTCCAATCCTTATAATAATTCAATTCTGTATGACCCACAGATAGCAATGGTTAAACCAAGGGGCAATATATAATCATTCCACAGGGCAAGAGATATCATTGTAAAGACTGGAAAAGTCAGAATATTAACCAAAGCTTAAAAGATATGGTTAATGTTGTTGTCATTTTTGTTGTTAGGTGCCATTGAGTTGAGTTCAACTCATGGTGACATTATGAACAATAGATCTGAACCTGTCCTATTGATAGGTATAGGTTGAGATTCAAGCAAAATGAAATTGTTGACAAATTCAATCTTACTCCATCTGTCTTAATGTTGTCTGTTGGTCCAGTGGTAAGGAATTTTGTCTGCTTAATGTTGAGATGTAACCCATACTGAAGGTTAAAGTCTTTGATATTCTGCAGCAAGTGCTTCAAGTTTTTATTTTCTGCAAGTATGCTTGTGTCATCTGCTTAACAAAGATGTTTTTACCTTAAAGGCAATATAGATAGGCAGTCAACAAGGGGTGGTTTTAGACCAGTAGAAGCCATGGATAGATGATTGGAAAATCAAAAGCATTTTCCCTGTTCCTCCTTGTTAATAATAATTTGTCCAGTTTGTGGGAAAACATTTGTTTTCAAACCTGGAACACAGTGCCGAAAACTCAATGAAGAGTAATTTGTGATCAGAGTCCTGATACCTCAGTAAAATATCTAATCATCTAAGGGTGATGAATATACAGGGATATACCTCCAAAATCAGGAGTCAGCTGATTGGATTTGTCAGATTTAGCTAACAATTAGCTGTGGGCTGGAAGTTTATTGGTCTAGAGTCAATTAGCACCTGGTGAGTGTGCCTTGTATTAAAAAAGGGGTAGCACCAGACTAAGTCTGCAGCTTGGAGGCTCACGTGCAGTGATTGAATTTTGGAACATGATTTCTCGCATCTCGATGAAGGGCTAGTATAGAACATTTGGTTAGGGATTTTTTTGGGGGGTGTCCAAAATCGGGTGTCAGCTGATTGGATTTGCTGGATTTGTTGTTGTTGTTATACTGTTGTTATGTGCCATCTGGTCGCTTGCGACTCATAGCGACCCCTATGTACAACAGCCCTAAACTCTGCTCTGTCCTGTTCCAATTGCACTGCTTCTGACACACCCATCCTGATTACCCCAGTTACTGAATCAGTCCACCTCATAGAGGGTCTTCCCCTCTTGCGCTGTCCTTCCATCTTCCCAAGCATGATGTCCCTCTTCAAGGACTTGTCCCTCCTTATAACATGACCAAAGTATGTCAGACAAAGCCCCAGAATCCTCGCCTCCAAGGAGCAGTCTGTTTTAACCCTCTCCAGCATGAATCTGTTTGTTTCCTTGGCAGTCCATGGTACATTCTATACTCTTCTCCAGCACCGCAGCTTAAACGCATCTGTTCTCCTTCTATCCTCCCTAGTCATTGCCCAACTCTCTGATGCATAACAAGTGATTGCAAAGACCATAGCCTGTATCAGATGCACCTTAGTCTCCAGAATGACATGATTACTCTTCAGTACCCTGGAGAAGTCCCTAACAGCAGACTTTCCCATCACAATACATTTTTTTTTATTTCCTGGCTACTGGTGCCAAGACTGTTGACCGTGGAACCAAGCAGACTAAAGTTGTTAACAATCTCAATCTCTTCACCATCCATCCTGATGCCGCCAATTGATCCAGTAGTGAGAGTCTTTGTCTTCTGGACATTGAGGTTCAATCCATACTGAAGGCTGCAGTCCTTGACCCTCTGCAGCAAGTGCTTCAGGTCCTCTGCAGTTTCAGCAAGCAGGGTTATGTCATCTGCATAATGCAGATTGTTGATAGATCTTCCACCAATCCTGATACCACACTTCTCCTCATAGAGCCCAGCCTCCTGCATAATCTGTTCTGCATACAGGTTGAAAAGGTATGGAGATAGGACTCATCCCTGGTGTACACCTTTCCCAATTTTGAACCATGAAGTGTTTCCCTGCTCTGTTCTGATGACTGCTTCTTGGTCGAAGAATAGGTTTCATGGGTTTAAGGTCTCTTGGTTTACAGTCAACCAGCACCTAATGGGCATGCCTTCTATTTAAAAGGTGGTAGCACCGTACTAAGTCTGCAGTTGGGAGGCTCATGTGTGAAGCCATTGGATTCTGGGAGATGGTTTCTCTCATCTTGGTGACTTTTTTCATCCACAATTAACTAGTGTTAATTGATTTGGAGATGGACATTCTTCTAAGTGGTACGGCAGTGGTGTATTTGCTGTACTGAAGTAACTTGGAGTTGCTGTGATGCTGAACACTTTACCCATGATGGAGGGTGGAGCTTCCAGAGTCAGATTTGGAAGCAGGAGTGGTATCCATTTCCTAAACCACATGTCTCTGGAAACTCTATGAACATAGAAAAATAATGATAGTTATAGAACAGATTTCAGGTCTTTTGTTTATTAGGGTCACTATGAGTTATACTTAACTCAAGGGCACATAACAACAAAAGCATACCTCCAAAATAAGGTCAAATTACTAGATCTGGGACCTCTTACCATGAGGAAGGAAGTGCAATGCCTGAGATTCTTCGACTTTGAAAACAGCAAATTCAACACCTAAAAACACTAATATTAAAAGTTTCCAGCTTTGAGGGACATCTGGAGCAGAAAAGTTTTCTGCTATAGGTCCAGGTTGTGATGCAAACAGCCATACACAGTGGTCATCTCTCTGGTAGAGTGTCTAATATTGAAAGTATTAGTGTTTTGTGTAAGTTTTGGTGGGAGAATTACAGTCAAGCACCTGGAGTTTTGTTGTAAGGTCACATTATCTACAGCAGAGTGAAGTGCTTTTTGAAAAACAATTTTTGATAGGATATTTCATCACCTGTCCATAGACACCAAGATACCATATGGTTATGGAAAGTATGTGATTATGGAATACAAAATGCCCATATGGCCAGAAATATCAATCATGAACTAGATTCTGCCAGACTAGACAAGTCATGAAATTGGAGGTCAGAAATAACCCACTGAACATCAGTAGAACCAAGGATCACAAGAAGATATATAAACAGCTCAATTGCAGGTTCCTCAGAACTGCTACACCAATATTATCCCTTCAGTTCATACTTAATGGCTGTATAAAGAGGGATTCCATATGACTAGTTAAAGGTGAGGGGAAATCCTTACAATGATCTTCAGGCACTGCACTTGGCCACGAGTTTCTTTGGAAAGAAATGTGGTACAAATTAAAACCTGTATAAACAAATTGAAAGTAGTTAATGATTTGACTGCTTGTTCAAGTA